TCCAGATTTCAAACTGGCTCCAGATTTTATAGCAGAAGCAGTAATAGATCTAAAAGAAACTAACTGAGAAGAAACTTAAGGAGCAAACTAATAAACTCTAATCTGCTTGCTATATGTTAGAGTGAAAAACTCATGATATGTCCATGAAGAATTTAGCTGTTCGTAGAGGAGGGCTCAGGTCTATAAGTGGCATCTCAAAAAATTACATCATTTACACATTTAAGACTTAGGGAACCCTCTACTGACAGTCAGGTTATTTGTTATGGGTATCAAGTTGAATAAGACAAGGCCTTTTCTGCCCCCAAGATTCAATTAGGTAACTACCAACACAATCATCCATATACTCCCATAGCACTCGGTGTACCTTTCTTCTCACTGAGTTAGTAACCCTACTTAGGGGCAGGAACAGTATTCATTTACATGTGCTTAGTAAACACTAGCTGACTGACATACCAAAGGCCCCTGTGCTTTATAAGTTCGTAGTAAAACAAACAAATTGGGCATATAAACAGCTAACTAACAGTACAGGCTAATACCTGTTGCAACACAGACAAGAACCAAACCATGGGGCCACAGAGGAAGCTTGCAGAGGCAGGGGAAGGCTAGACCACAGATGTGACTCAGGAGTTGAAAGATAAGCTTAACTCTGTCAGCGGAGGAACAATGACAGCAGAGGGAATTTCCCATACAGAATACAGTACGTACAATAACAACTAATAGCTACTAACCACCAAGGACTTATATGCCAGGTTCTAGTCTCCAGAAATCAGTTCATTTATTCCTCATAACCTTAAGAAGCAGGCACCATTTTGCTCCCATTTCACAGATGAGGAAACTGAGGCTTAGATATTTCACTGCTGGAACAGATTAGTCAACATCAGAGCCCAAGATCTCAATCCCTATAATATACTACATAGGCACAAAGCCAGGAAAGGAGGTACTACATCTACAGACTTGGGATATGTTTAGATAAGTGTCGGGATCATGGGTAAGAGAGTAGGAGATGGTGAAGCCAAATATGTGGGCAGGGGCCAGATTCTAAAGGAACTTGAATGCCAAGCTAAATAGCTGGGCTTATCCCACAGGGGCTGGGGAGCCAAGACAAGCATTTAAGCCTACAAATGGCTTGATCAGCACTGCACTTTAGCACAATACTCTGAGAGTGATGTGGAAGATAGGCAAGATTATGAGGACCCTGAAGGAAAGAAGGCTGTTTCAAAAGACAGATCAAATACTAGGTTCTGGACAAGACAGAGGGCATAAGGATAGAGAATAATAGGCAGATTTTTTTCCCCTCAGATAGAACTGATACAATATGGTGAAGGATGAGGTCTGGGGCAGGAGGGGAGAGTAAATGAGAAGACACCAAGTCCGTAACTTGATACCAACCAATTGATCCATCCAATTTCCCATCAATCAAGAGAAATGTTATACAAGGGCAGGTGACTGTTAGAGAAGAGAAGAGTAGCTTAGTTCTGCACCCACTGTGTTACTGTCTAACTGCTTCAAGTTCCTAAGTCTCATTAACCTGACAAAACCATAATCTTCTCCAAGGCAGAAATAATTCACAAGTGTCTTGTGTCCACATGTCCCCTCAGTATCCATTTCAGTACTGAATATCAAAAAAAAAAATTAAAAACTTAAAAATAAAACCCTTAATACAACTCACTAAATATTTGTTAAATATCAAAGCTGTACAAGACACTGTGCTCAAAAAGTACCTGACCAAAGGCAGAAATCATAAAAGAAAATATAAACAGGTTTTATGACAGAAGATTTTAAAGTATCTGTAATTTACAAGAGAAGAAAAGCAAGCAGCTTCTATAAATTTAAGTTTTACTTCGCTAGTAACCAAATAAATACAAATTAAATATCTTTTTTGTCTATCAAATTTCAAAGGACTTTTTTCCCCTCCAAATGCTACGGTTTATTTATTTATTTTTTTGAAGTATAGTCAGTTACAATGTGTCAATTTCTGGTGTACAGCATAATGTCCCAGTCATGTATGTGTGTGTGTGTGTATATATATATATGTGTGTATATATATATGTATTTGTTTTTATATTCTTTTTCATTAAGGGTTGTTACAAGATATTGAATATGGTTCTCTGTGCAAAAATGGATAATAAGATCTACCTCAAAAATTTGTTGAGATTAGTTTTTGTCCACAGAATAAAGTTGACTCTGTCTCAAAAGTTATCCTTCTAAAACACAAGCTTCTTCACAATAAATCCTATTCGGTCTCCAAAATACAGCTCCAATATTATAAGTGGGAAGCCTGCCTTGATTACCTAATGAGAGGGCTCATTGCTCTCCCCTTCCATGCTTCTGTTATGTCTTCCACAGATCTGTATTATTCTTCACATTGTAACATAAATATTCATTTACTTTTCCATCTCCATACTAAGCCAGTTAAGAATGGAGTCAATGGCTTATGCATCCTGTGTCGCCAACACTAAGTCCAGGGCCAGTACATGGCAGAAAATGTTTCCCTGAGGGGAGGGTATAGCTCAAGTGGCAGAGCATATGTTTAGAATGCACAAGGTCCTAGGTTCAATCCCCAGTACCTCCATTAGAAAATAAGTAAATAAATAAACCTAATTACCTCTACCCCACCCCCCCAAAAAAGAAAATGTTTCATTAAATAGAACAACAACAGTGTATCATTTTACCCTCACAAAACCCTATCAGGCATTTTACAACTTGGGATTGATTGAGGTTCAAGTTGCAGTGACTGTCTAAAATCATATACAGGAGACAAAGCTTGCACTTAATCCAGGTCTCTGGACTCTCCACTCCACTATGCATGACTTTTCAGGGGAAAAGGCCCACCACAGGCCATCAAGAATACAAATGCACACAGGTACTTTGTTTCTCAAAATGGTAAGAACTCTGAATGGCATCAGGGCATCTTAGAAAGTCATTACCCAGGAAAGTACAGGGAACAGAGTTAAAATACATAGAAGAGTGGCAGATCTGGATCTAAATCCAGGCTCACTCTGTCCTTAATCCTGTTCCTTTGAGTGAATCTTTTAAACTCAGGAGCCTCAGCTTCCTCATCTGTAAAATGGGATTTTAAACAGTGATACTCACCTTGCAGGGTTTTATGTATGAATAAAAGTTATGTGAAATGGGCTGAGGATATAGTAAAGGCTAATTAAATTGTAGTTATTATTATATGTCAGAAATAAATGGCATATATTGAATGCCTGGGCCACAAGTATTTTCCATATCATATATTATTTCATCTCAACAGCAACCATGTGGTGCTATCACTTTAATCTTATATTGAGAAAACTGAGACTCAAAGACACTTAAGTAACTTGTCTGAGGTCACACAGGTAGTTCTTGGCAGAGCCTGCACTCAGACCAAGATCTTTCTGAGTCCAAAGCCTTTTGCTCTTTGCAATTTACCTGTCTGCACCCCTGAATAGTCTCAGTGGAGAAAAAACAAGGAGGAATCAGATATGCCCCAAATGTCTGAGGTCAGTGAGAGGGGCTGGAAAGGAAAGATTGGATCAGATTCATGTGAAGCTTGGGATGTGTATTAAAAATGTTTGGAACATGTACAAGATGAGGCAGGGGAGAAACCAAAAGGGAAGAAGAGAGCCAACAATAAATGTCATGCTCCTCAACTTCCCTTTCAGCTAATAATACAATAAATAGTAGAGATGACTCATATTCATATTTCAGTCCTTCTGCGGAGTCCCCAAGGTAAAAATCCCATACTGTAATGCCAGTGTGTTATTTCCTTTTGATCTTGCTATCATTATGTCCTAGAAAATGTTTCAAAACCAAACAGAGGAAGTTCAGAAAAGTCACAGGAAATACCTGATCTCCTTCACTCTTAGAAATGGAAACAAACTCTATGAGGTTAGTCTCTTATTTGCATCATTAACACCAAGGCATGTTGGAAGAGGATTCAGATAACTAATACAGCGGTAGATGGCTTCAAATCATCCTACAGAAAAACAAATGTTCTTTCAAAATAACCCAACAACAACGAAAAAGTGATTTCAGTGTTTTCCTCTGTTATACACAGCTCCCCCTAAACTTCGAACAAATAGGCCTTTGCATTCTCCAGTCAAGGCCCAGGAAACTTTCATGCTATGAATGTTTTTGACTCATGCAGTTAGGAGTCAGGTTAGGCACAAACAGAAACAGTAGTGCAGAAAAACACAAACAAACAAACAAACAAAGAAACTATCCCTATGGAGTGAAAAGTTCTCAAGTGAGGAACTCATACCAAGTCCTCCCACCTGGTGCCACAAGGCTGTGAACCCAGAAAGGTGCTCAGTCCAGGCTAAGAAAGCAGACTTGGAGAAAGAAAACTCAACAAAGAAGGGGTGGCTGAGAAGACTCTGATAGGGAGTGAAATAATTTTATCTGTTTAAATTTATGAGCAAAAAAAGGCTTAAGATTCTCTCCTAATAAATACATCTTCCTGTGAACTTTTCCAAAGTATAACTACTGGCATATAGTGTTAGCAGATCTCACAGAAAACTCATTCCTAAGGGACTACCTGTAAACTCTTAAGTTTCTGTCTTCACATGATTAAATCAGAACCCTCCTGTGCTCATTCTCACCCCCATTCAAAGCGCTATACCCGTCTGCACCAACAACCTATGCCCAGCCTCTCCTCTGCGTGGCCCCAGAAAAGCCTCAGGCAACGGAGCCGCGGGACCCGCGGGAGAACATCTCCCCTCCCTGCCATCCCCATTATTCGGCACACAGCCCTGCTCTCCCCTGGAGCCAACAGTCTGCAGCTCCTTCAAAGCAGGCGCGAGCAGGCAGGAATGGTGGGAAGAGAAGCTGTGCCAGCTGCATGTTTCAGAATCTCCCTCCATATGCATTTGCCAAAGGAACAAAAAGAAGATCAATGCCAGGAAAAGACAACTGAGATGAGGATGCGGTGGGACCACGGCTGACTCCGCGCCTCTTAGCAGCAAGAGCCTCTTAGCAGCCAACCACGCGTCTGAGCCACAGATCCGAGTCGTTACCTTCAGGATGCAGGCCATGGCGCTCCGCCGGCCCTCCTGCCACCGAGCAGCGGGCGCGCCTGGGTCAGGGGCAGTCCCGGCGATAGGCTGGAGGCTGGTACCGCGGCAGGACCGCTCCAGCCCACATTCCCGCAGATCCAAATAAGGGGACCGCGGTGAGAGCTGCGCGGGCACAGGCCCCGCCCCCCGAGTGGTGGCCCCGCCCCGGCCCCGTCCACTGGCGGGCGGCCCGCGAGGCCCCGCCCCCGGGTCACGTGCCGTCCCTGGCGCCCCTGGCTGCCCCTCGGTGTTGGCTACTTTTTCTTTTCTCCTTTTTTTGTGTAAATGTTCAACGTATAGAAAGTCGTTCACCAGCAGGCTGGGATCTGCGTCCCGCTGGGAAGAGAAAGCAGCCTTTTCTTCTCCTCAATTCGGTCTCCTCTAACAGATCAGAGAACTCCTAGCAAACACTTCACACTTTTAAAAGTTAAGTAGGTTTGGAATCACCCCTCTACAGGCTTTGGGTACATCAAAGGATTCTTCAAAAGTAGCAGGCGAAATTCTTCCTCGGCTGTTTACGAACAGAGGCTTCACTCTGCTTAAAAACTCTGTGATGGGATTATCTGAAATTAATAATCTGCCATTAATAAGGGAGCACAAATATCTATCAATGAAAGATGCCATGAGCCTTATACTGTGCATGAGGTACTTTGCTTGTAAGTGCGCATACACACACACACACACACGCATGTATATGTATATGTATATGTATATGTATATGTATATATAATGCATTGCTCTTTTCTGCTTTAAGCTTGTATTTATGAAAATGTGTGCATACATAAATGTACTGTAAATAGAATAAATGAAAATATGGTATATTCTCATATATGTATATTAATTTGTGTGTGTATATGTGTGTATATATACATATATATATATAAAGTCCATTCACAGGACTTTGCTCTTTCCTGCTACAAGTTTAGAATTTGAAGAATTTTGTGGCAACTTCAGCAACAAGGTTAGATTAAAACTTTCCTATTAGAATTGGAAATTCAGAGGCCATTTTTCCCCATCGAGTCTGAACACTCTGATGGTAAAACAAAGGCTGATACATCAGCCCTACCTAGGAGGCAGGTAGCTTGGGAGAAGATACATTTTGGGTCCTCTTCAACTCTGCTCAGCAGACCCTCTGAGTAACAATCAACAATGAAAGCCCAAGCAAGAACCAGCTAAGAGAAGCAGAGTTATTTCTCCGAGAAAAGGAACATCACATCCATAGCGAAAAAAGGGAGAGACCATTCTGTGTATATACAGATTTCCACCACTTGATCTGTCAGAGAAATCTTAAAACCAGGACCAAAATATTTACTCAAAAGAGGTTTCACTTGCTGGAAGCCCAGTCTAGTTTGCCTACATGGAGTCAGGAAAAGCACCGTGGGCTGATGGGGCTGTGACGTCATGAGGTTGGCTCACAGACCACAAGGCAGAAACCCTGGCTTTCAAGGTATTTGGTGTTTTCTCCATGAGAACATGCAGAATCCTGAGAGACCAGGAGGAACCTTGGAAAAAGAGTTGCAGAGGATGAGACTGTGGGAGAACTGTCTGCTCCCAAGGGAAGCTCCTCTTTTCAGTCTCCTTGAGGAACCATACCTTGCTCTCCCACCCCTTTTTCTTCCAGCCCTTCCATCTGCTTCAGAGAGCTGCTGTATTTTCAGTAAGAACTTCTTGATCATGACTATATATTTTAAATCACTGCTTTAGTTCATGGTCTTTAATGGGTCCAGAAAACTCAGTAATTCATTCATTTATGAATTCAACAAACCTTATTGAGTTACTACTACAAGAATAGTAGGTGGATGGGGGTTGGGTGGAGGATATGGACAAGGTCTTTTTTAAGGTACCTATCAGAGATGAGAGAATGCTTTCCATGGTCTCTAACATCATCTCAGGTTCAGTCAAGTGGGAAAGATAAGAGATACTTGATAACAGAACACGGTAAGGTCCTTAACCAAAGTGCAAGCAAAGTTCTAAGGAAAGAGGGACTGGCAGGTGGTGGGCAGAGCACTCTTTCTCTGGGAGTTGCTGGTCTGAGAGACAACATAGCAGACTCTAGGGAGCAACCCTGCTGCGTACTTCCTTGCTGGGCGAGCTTGATCAAGTTTCTTAACCTCTCTTTAATCCTTTGCCAGTATAATAGCATCTCTCCTTGTTATGCTTTTTTTTTAATGGAGGTACTGGGGACTGAACTTAGGATCTGGTGCATGCTAAGCATATGCTCTACCACTATCATTACCCCCACCCATCCTCGTGAGAATTAAATGAGATAATGCTTGTAAACCCGCTCACCTCAATCCTTGGCACGATGAACACTCTCCAAATGGTAGCTCTTTTTCTAAAGGAAAAACAAAAACAAAACAAAACAAAAGCTGACTAAGGATAGCTTGTAAGAGAAAATAAACAAGATGATGCCATTCTTCTTGAATGTCACAGAAAGATAAACACTAATGAGGCAAACATTTAGTGTCTTGTGACTTGAGTGTACCACAGACTAGCTCCCTCAGTCTTGAGTATGGATCTCTCCAGTAAACACCCCCACCCATGCCCACACTTCCCAAATGTTATTTTTTATTAGCATCCATAAAGTTTAACTAAATACAAATTTTAACTAAATACAGATAGGAATGATGCATTTTATAACAACCTAGAAACAAACTCAATCAATTCTAGAATACATCTGGACCAGAAATTTTACAAAACAATATTATCACTGCTTCAGATGGACAGCAGTTGGATGGGGAAAAAGCAGTTAGAGAGAAATAAAAACAGATTCTGAACCTATGGGGGAATGAAGGGGCAGCCACGTGTGCAGGTGGGTGGGAGTTGGGTGGAGGGTATGGACAGGGTCTTTTCTGTTTGTTTTAAAACTGGCTTAACTATAGGAATAGCTTAGGTTAGCCCATAGATGTAGCATAATCTTCCAAGTCTCAAGTTATGTGACTTAAAGCCAAAAGCCTGTTTTCAAAGATAATAACAAAATGGAGGCACCTTGCAATTATATGCAATATCCCATTTGATCCTCACAACATCTGTATGAATGTTGGCATCTCCAGCTCTTAAGTGGGGCAACAGGGATTTGAACCCAGGTAGATGGACTTCTGGGTCTACTATCTTAAGTGCTACACTCAGCTGCCCAATATGTTGGGAGCCCAGTCTCTACTATTCAGCACCATTCAGATTTAGTGTACTGTCTTGGATTTGATAGTCAGAAAACTTAGGGTAAGTATATCTCCTCCCTAGGGTACATACTAGGATACAAAACCTAGGGCAAGTATGTAAGTATGTGGAAGATAGACACATTCTATCTTTCTGAGTTTACAGGACAGGTACACTCAGCCTCCAGCTCCTAAGTCCTACTTCAACTGACATCCCAGCCAGGTCTCCCATTAAGCCAAGCTGCTACCACCTTTTGCTCATGAGAATTACCTCCCACCGAAGGCTGTCACTGCTGTAGCTCACCTGTGACATGGGACCTGCTATGTGGAGCCTGCCAGCTCTTGCTTCCCTTCATGGCAAGGCCCTTGGGGGAGGCCCTATTCATCTTCCCCATCCTCACAGGTCTTTCCCCAGTGAGATCTAAACAAGCCTTAAGGCTGAGACCTCATGAGTTATGACAAGTCATGGGCTAAAATGTCCTATTTAAATTCAGTTTTACTTCACTGTAAACAGTCCCATTACTAAGTAATTCTTGGAGTTATATAGTTTCCTGATAGAAACAGAATTAAAATGCAGACTCCCATAACTTTTCCAATTTCATCTTGCACACATATTAATTTATTTGTATTCAACACAGAGTCATTCATTAAAGTTTTAATTGGATCTCAATTTTTCCCATCTAAAGATTTAAATGAATTCCAGATATCATAAAACTCTTCTTGTCATCCACTGCATGAATTATGCTTCTATAGGAAACTATGACTGGAAGATCCATTATCCAATGTTATGGGAAAGTCATTTTTTTTTTTAACATTCTGAGCCAAGATAGAAAATGACTTTTTTTCTAGAAACCATTGCACTGTTACAATTTTGACCTTATCCCAAAGCACATGTCTATCTGTCAGTGTCCATGTGTGTGTCTGTATCTACATATGTGCCCAAGTATCTCTGTGGCTGTGCCCTTTTAGGTGGATATTTATGAAAATATAATGACATGTGAGCTAAGCTTTATTTCCCTCCATTTTGGGTAGAAGTTCATTCCAAAATGTCATCCATTTTGCATTCCCAAGACTTGAGCTTACTGCTTTTTCAAAGCTTTACATAGTTCTAAACTAGAATTCATCATTATCCCTGACTATACTGATATTTATCTGGGATTAACTCCAAAACAAGTTATGCATGATTTACAATTGCATTTTTAAAATATGTATTCTCATTCTCTTAATGTTCTCCCTTAACTTCATCTCAGCTCTACTCTTTCTACTGAAAGTTCCTATCATTTCTCAAAAAAAGTTTTTGAGCCAAAAAAGAAAAATAAGTATGTTTTCAATTAAAAGAGAAAAATCTGAAATTAATGTTTATTACCTAATTTGTGTTACCTAGAAGAATGTAAGTGTTAAGCAGATTTGGTTTTCTTAAAGAATTCCCCCCTAAGATTTTTTTAAAACATAATCAATTGAAAGAAATATAGCTGGAAGCACTGGCATGTCATTTGAATTTGGTTTGTATTGGATTTCCCCAAGGCTGTTGAAGCCGCCACTATTAATTGAATCTGGTATTTCTTAACCACGTTTCCCGGAGTTTGTTTTCTTTTTATTGTGAGGTTCGTCCCATGTGTGTTTCTCTACATTCTTCTTAGATTTCACCCCTTAGTGAGGCTCGGTGACATGCCGCCTTAAAATATTAGAAAGGAAATTTGGTATGTGAAATACATCCATGGTGGATCTGATGGGAACACCCACAGGAGGGGTCTAATATGTGGCCTCCTTCTGCAGTGTGTCTGCCTGAACCATTTTTTCTCCAAAGATCTGACCCTCACAAACCCTCTGGAGAGAGTGAGGGACTGTGCTCATTCTTTGTGCCAATACAAACCCTCGCTTTTTGTTTCTATGTCTGAGCTGATGTAAGAAAGGTAAGAGAAAAGCAATGTCATGGAATCCAAAGAAGAAAGGTCCAAGGAGGAGTCAACCAAATACAC